CCAAAAACTCATGAGACATCTTGAACAGACATCAACGCTGACCGCTGGTTACTGTAACATGTTGTTTTTGTTTGTTACCCACAGTGTGGGGGGAACGACAGCCTCATGGCAACAGACTTTTCGGCCATGGCTCGAGGATGATTTGGGAATCCCCTTCTTTCTTCCTCTAAATTCAAGCCACCCCCATTTGTTTGCTGCGGCTGGTTTCTGGGTCTCACAGGGGTCAACACCAATCCTCTCTTAGACATAACAGAGGAGAGGATTGTATGAAGAAAACACGTCATTTGATGTTTGAAAGATCACAGAAGTGGAGCACCCCAGATTTTCCTTCTGTTATACGTTAGGGTCCTGAAAAAAAAAAGTCCTCTGAACTCTTGAGCGATATTACCAGCAAACCCCCCCAAACACCACAGCCCCTCCCGGCCCTGAACACACATCCCGGTCTCTCTAATCCAAACACGCCGCCATAATCTGCAGCTATCATGCGAGTCATCTACAAGCCGAGGAAGAGGTGGAAACTAAACAAACGATGAGACAAAAGGACCACTTTCACCTTGATCAGCCAGGCAGGCAGACTCCACTGGGAGGGAGGAGAGCAGAGAAAAGCAGAGATTTAACGTCAAAGACATGAAAGACGTCGACAGCAGACAGGGAAGATGTTCAAGACTACACCTGAGAGAAAGATAGAGGATCAAAGAGGAAGAAAAGAGTCTTAGATCAGGTAAACTACGGAGAAGAAAAGGAACAGGAAAAGAGAAAGAGACTGTAAGAGGATATCTCTGTTTCCACCCTGCAGTCACGCACATGTCAAACAAACCTGGTAATGGGGCAGAAATTAGGAAAATTACAACAACTGGGTTGAAGTGGATTAGATGAAGGAGAGTAATTATCCACACATCACGTTGGTGCAAGGCTTCAAACAGTGTCAGTAAAGACAAAGTAACGCCTGCACACTAACTCCACAACACAAACATTTTTTAAAGACATCGATCCTACTTGGATCTTTGTCAGGTCAAAAAGACAAAGACCTAAGTACAATCACAATTTCGTCTTTATCCCCTTTACACTGCCTGTTCAAGGTGGAAATGTCACGCTGTTACTCCACCTCACGGTTCTGTATAAAAGATACGATCACAGAATGGGGGAGCAGAGGTGTCTCCCCTTTAGGCCGGCAGCAGAGGAAGTGACAGCACCGCATCAAAGTCTGTGTAAAAGGGACGGCCGACAGGACAGGACAGGTTTGACTTTTGCATGCGACCTCCTGCGGGACATTTAAAAAGCAGCTAACAGCAGTTAGCAGCTAACTCAAAGAAGATCAGTAGCCAAAAATGTCTGCAAACTGGAAAATCAGTCGGTATATTTACATGACATTAGAGAAAATTGATTTATTGTATCAGTCCGACCAAAACTGGATTTGAAAAATCCATGTTAACACGTTAGTCCGACTGAAATCATACTAAATCAATTTCTCAAAGTAGGACTAACACACCCACATAATGCGTTTGGGAGTCGAATTCCTCCTGCGTGTATACAGTCAGACCCAAACTGGCCAAGGCGTTCTGAGCATGCTCAGAAGAAGCCGGCAACAACATGGAGAAATCTACATCCAGAGCCGTGACTTTTTGGACGGACCAAATGTACAGAGCTGTAAAGTTGTCCACCATGGTAGCAGTTAGCAGCTAGCTAACCGTAGCTAACTTGTTTGTCCATTGTTTGGTCTGTGACGTAATAGGTCAACAGGAAAAAGGTCCAATACTAACAAGCTGAAAGGGGGCATATCTCCACCTATCGTAGAGGAGTCGCACATACTTGGCTCAATAAATGGATTCCCCTCCCGTGCTTGTATACTGGGACAAGGACAGTAGGCCAGTTAAATGTCCTCGTCCAGCTGGGACTGTAGCTCCACTTCACTGTGACTGGAAAACATTCAGAATGAGGTCCAGGAGCTCCTTATGCTCCGAGCAAGGGACAAGATCAGCTGTCATATAACAGGGAAATTAAATGATTGTTAATGCCATGTTATGTCATCGTTGTTATTTAGAAAGTGTTAAATGTGACAGTAGAGGCCGATGCTGTTGTGTTTAACGTCACTCCTCTTCTGCTTCTGCGATGCCGGCACACTGTCTAAAATCACACACTGGAGCGACATGACGCAGCTGTTGTTTGGTTCTTAGTAAAAATGCAAAGAAGGCGTAAAGAAGGGACTTCAGAGCGGCTCTGAAAGGTCATCTCTGTGTAAAAAGGACACTTGTTAAACTTTTGTGGCGTGGAGTAAGTGTGCAGGCGTCACTCTTTCTTCACTGAAGTGGATTAGTGTCAGAAAAACCCTCAAGAAGGTCAAAAGAATCCTTCGATAACATCCTCGTACTTGGCAGCTGTTATTGTTTAGAGGTGTTATCTGATGGCGGTAATTCGCTGCCTGAGGCCAAAGACATTAACTTGGCAGGGTTAAAATGTACCAACTGAAGGCTGTGACACAATGACAAGACTTCCACAGATGACAGATTCTGAAATGTCCAACTTTCATCAGCATTTATTCACTTCTATTAGAGATGCAAATTCTCGACACTCTGCCTCATTAGACTACAAAAACACATTGTTCACTCGTGACCAGAGCGATGTCACAGAGTGGTGCTTCTTTTTTCACTCAAAAATCCTTGGCAGAGCACTTACACCTGTTTGTAAGAGCACATAAACCAACTAGTATGACCTGGTGATTTTAATTTGAGTCGGCAAAGATGAGACGTGTGCTACCTGCATGTTTAACACAGTGCTTATTAAAAGTGCAACAAGAGACAGGAGACGTGTGAGCCTCAGAGCTCAGTGTATACAGGTGTTTTATCCACCTGCCGGTCACATTTATGATCAATAATCCATTGAGAGTTTTAGGTTTATGAAACAAAACATGTATTTTTGTTATTTGGGGTGAACCAGAGATGATAGCTGACCTGTTGAATGCAAATGTAGACATACAGTTGCTAGGTTGCTACAATGCATGTAAATAAAATCCTCCGATTACCCGCATAACTTTCTGAGTAACCTGGTTATTAAGTGCATGTAAGTGCACTGAATGCTGACTGGGACCAGTTTGAACTTGGAAGTCTGATTGTCTTTTGACCTGCAAATCACAAACTAACTGTGACTGGCAGTAAGACAGGTTAGGGAATACTTCAGGTAACAAAAAAATCTGTATTTAGTCTTTGTAGAAACAACTGGACTGTGTCATTTCAACGTCAGTTTTGTGCACACCATTTCTCAACAGTACAAAGCATAAAATGTATAGTAAATACTGTATTTATGATTAATATTATTATATGTATGAGTGTGTTGTTCTGAACTGGGACACAGCTGGTGCTTGCTGGGATCCCCTGATCTGAATGAATCCAACAGTGGGAACAACATGTGAAAATAACAACAGTATGTTAAAGACGTTCCTATAATATGTTGGTTCTTCTGAAATAAATCTCACAAGTTCCACAAAATATTAAAAGTGAGAGTGAGACGTCAGGAAGGCGATGGCGACAAAATGAGAGTGAATGTGAGATAGAAAGGCAGACAGACGGGGGGGGGGGGGGTTAATGGTTCTGTCTCCTCCGTGCAGGTGAGTCTCCTGCGGGTCCTCTGTCCCAACACACTATTGTCTCCTTATCTACTTCCTCTCTCCTCCTCTGCAGACACTGCCTGTTTAGACTGCCACTCGCCTTCTCTCCTTCCTCTCATCTCTTCTTTCATTATCACCACTCCTCCGCCACAGCTGCAGCTCAACGGTGTGCCACGAGTGCACACAAGGCTTTGTATCAAACCTGCCGTCCATATGTATATTAAGGATTGGCCTGCTCTTTACAGGTGGACTGACATGGATAACATATCATGTACATGTGTGTGTTACTGAGCAGATTTTTAGATTATATGTACTGTTGTTGTTTGTCTTGAGAAATCTAATTTATTAAAATGATCCAGCATTTTCTTTTCTGCATCTGTGTGTTGGAGTGAAATGTTTACTTTGCATTAATGAGTTAGATTATTGTCCTTCACTTTGTTTGCATTTGTGAGTACTCACTTTTCATCCGTTTGTGTTGTGCACATTTTGTTAAATTACAGGGAGGTTGGCTGTATGAGCCTACAGCCTCCTGTCACTTAGAAATATACATATACATTGTTTGGTTCTTGCTGGTGGTGTTAATGTTTGTACAAATAAATCTAATTAAATCAAATCAAATATTTTTAGTATTTTATTTCATTGTCTTCAGTAAAGAATTTACTGCGTTTTTTATATCCCACTCTGTGTGAAGCGTCTTTAAGGATTCTGAAAAGCGCTATATATGTGTGATGAATTATGAAAAGCAGAAAATAATAATTAATTAAATTAATAATAAAAATGTATGAGGTGTAATTGTTAAAAAATGGGATATTGGTAGCATATATATGTCATTCCCTTTTCCTGCCTGCCTTGTGACCTCGACTTCAGGAAACCAGTGGAAATAAGTTGTGACTTTACTGCAATACCCTGATGAGTTTTAGTTCTGTATGTATTTTAAATTATCAAATAAAATCAGATACAGTTTAGTCACTTTAATAAGAGATTCCTGTTGACTATCTGTTTAGACTCCAGCTCTCTTCACCTCCTTCTCCTCTTCATGCTTCCTCACTTTCTATCTGCTCCATCTCCTCCTCTCGTGTCTTTGTTCACTTGTTCTGTTCCATCCCCCCCTCCCTGCCCTGCGAGGCTGTGTAAATAAAATAAACTTCAGAGAGGAGCTTCTTTTCTTCTCTCACTTCTGGAAGATGACACGGCCAATATTTGCTATGGAAACCAAAAATATAACATGGCTGCTACTGTGCTTCTCACTGTAGCTGCTGGTGTTTGGCATCATTCAGACCTGTGATGTTCTGGAAGTTTCAATCCTGATGACATGTAATTATTATCATCTGTGATCACAATGGGAGATATTAGTGAAGATGCACTGCTTTCACCCTCCACTGTGTGTGTGCAGACCTACCGTCGTTTGGTAAAGCAGCAGGGTACATCTCTTTCAGCAGGTCGCCAAGTGTGTGCATGTTGCCTTCAGATGAAACAGGGCGAAACAGTTTCTGGATGAACGGCCTGTCGCTCAGTGTCTGGAACAAATAAGAGCACGGCAAATTAACAAATGCAGCAACACAAACATACAAACACATTGCATCCTAAACACATCCAAAGACACTGGCTCAATTACATCAATATGTGATTGAAAAGATGCAACAAAACTCCATCAAACTTAAGCTGACGTAACGGTGCAGCCATAACAAATGCCATTTAGATTTAAATAATTTAATCATCAGACATGTGATACCAATTCTAGGAATTGCCGTAAAAAGCAGACAAAATATCCAGTAAACAGGGCACTTTCATGTGAAGTAACATAAGGGGAAATTTTAAGGTGATGAACAGAGTTCAAAGGGTTAAGATAGTGGAAAGAATCCACCCAATTATGCACGCAAACGCAGTGAATGTACAGTCTGCTGAGCTGAGCTGGGAATGAGCTGCTTTGATGAGCCCGACGGCTCAGAATGTGATATTTAGCAATCTGCAACATTTCAACAGATGTTTCATGTGACAGCATGTTTTACTGATCAGAATTAGTCTGGAAATCATTAACTGCTGCTCGAGTGTGTTCTTGGCAGAAAAGTCAGCTCCTACACTAAAAACACCTCTGGCACTCCTCGACGTTCTCAGATGGAGAGAGGAGACGAGTAAACTGTGAAATTCAATGTGACAGTATGTATTTTTCTCAAGCGGCAGCGTCCAGGGCTGAAAAATGAAGCCAACGCTGAAATGCCGAAAAAAGTAGTTCCTCTAATGTCCACTTGAGGCTGGCTCGCTCGCTCCTACAGCGAGTCAATCCCCGCAGACCCGCACGTTCAAATCTACACTTTTACAACAGAAATAAACATGTTACAAAAGATGGTTTTGGTCCAAGTAGCTAATCTTCCTGTTTATGACAACTGTACAAGGCTGTCATGATACCAGCAATATTGCAACCCCAGGGCAGAGCAGGCAACCGCCACAGCTATGTTCATTTTTCTTATATTCAATATTAAACTTTGGGTAAAGCGCTGCTGCCACGTTTTACCCAGCAGTCCAATCACAGTGGAGAAGGGGTGGGACACTACAGAGACCAACCGTCTCACTGTTGGACATCAACAACAATCGAGGATAAATTAATACTGAAAGCTTCAGGCGTTAATACCACATATCCCGCACATATCAAACCATCCTTAATCTCCACAGAGGAAATTCCTTCCCCACAACCGCCCTACGACTGTTAAGGGGCTTATTTAACTCACCTGTTTAAATGTTACTGAGGCTTTAAGCCCAGTTCAGACCAAAATGAGATGAAAAAGACAATTACTGTCAACACTCCGTTCTGTAATATTGTAAAAAGCTGTAGGTTCACAGGAAGTGACCACGATGAGACGGTGTATCATCTCTAGTCAACAACTCATTCATCTCATCGTGAATCATCTTTCTGAACTGGGCTTTAAAGTTATGCATAATTAAGGCCGTGGTCACTTTAGGTGACAGGTGGGTGCCATTTGTTGACGAGTGGCCACCATAGCAACAACGTTGGTTAGGTAACATAACCATGGCGTAACTCTTGATTCACAGAGAGAAGGCGTAGCTGAAGCTGTCGCTGTTTCAGTGCGTCTTCAGTTCATTAAAGTTAATGGTAATGTTTTGGTCACCTGAAAAAGCATTTGGTTGTAATAAAAGACTCTCTGACGAATCCTATGTTTTTTTGATATGTATATTTTGTTTTGATAGTTTTTAGCCTGTTTTTGCTCAGAAAAATAAGCATCATTATCGTCACAGTAACCATAGCTGTAAATGCACGGCGCTAACCAAGCTAGCAGCTAGCATTAGGGTTAGATCCACCCTATTGTTAAAATGCAGTCACTCCTGGCTCCTCAATAAAAGGAACATAAAACAAACAAACAAAAAACAGATGGCGGCTGAACTCAAGGCTTCAAAACAGGAGTCCACAAACCAATGGGTGACATCACTGTGGATACGTCCATTATTTTATACAATCTATGGTTCTTTCCTGCCAGAGAAATCATCTTCTCTCTTTCACTGCTCCACAGAGAGGCTGGAGGTCATGGAGACGTTCAAGTGTTTTGCTCAAGGACACCTCAGCAAAGTGGACGCTTTCATGGTCAAGGGTTTTCTGAATCAGCATGCCATTCTGCTGCCTAATGAGTGACGGTAACCCAAAAAACCTGATTAGAGACCGAAGAATGAAAACAAAACACAACAAAGTGGACATGAGTTGTAAAAAAAAAAAAGGCACAGCGGCGTTTAATTTATCTAGTGTTCCTCTCGTTAAGAAAATGTTGAGTAATATAAATCATGTCATCCTCTCTGACAATCATTCCATCTCTGCTCTGATCTCTTCCCCACACTGTATGTGAACCCTCTGCAGTCAGAAGCATACTGTCATGATGATGTTTCTCTGACCTGTGACCTGCACACTATTACTTACTTATCATGGTAACGATCTAGGAACCAAAGCTTATCCTACTGCTGACCACAATGCAAATCACTCTGGGGAAGAGCGACCGCTAAATGCCTAAAATGTAAACTGACTAAGTCATGATGAGACCGTTAAACAAAAGTGACGTATGCAGCAAACATCCTCATGACTCTTCAGCTCTGATCTGAAACCCTGCAGCCAAAACATTCCATGTGTGAGAGGTGCGGGAAACATGGTGGGAAATTACCGCCAGACGGCAGACAAATCTAGTAAACTATGTCCAGAGCTGGTAATGGACTTTGACTCAAGAGTGGAAGGACAGAGGGTATCGTATGTTGGATTGATTGGTTTATTCTCTGAGGCAGTTACATACAAAAAGAGATCTTTTCAGTCGCTGTGAGTTCTCTCAGTTTGATGTGTCTGGGCCTTGTGTTTCACAGCACTGTTTACTGTATGGGACATCAGCTGATCTGCTAAATTATGACCTGCCACTGTTCTACAAAGAATAGGGTGATTGCGGTGGAGGATGGGCGGTCTGATGAGATTTTAGTTGATTAAAATGAAAAAGAATCTGATAAAAACCTTCACCTTTACTTTTATGTTGATTCTTAAATACATTTATTACTTCAGTAAATACTTCAGTCGTATTTCGAGATCAAGACTTCATCTGATCTGTCTGATTATTTAATACCTCACTTGTGTATAAATATATATTTTTCCGCACTGTGTTCTGTGTATTTTTTGTTTTTTATTGGAGTACTAGTCCATCCCCATTGGTGGCTTTGTCACCTTCTACCTATGCCAGTCCTCAATGCCTATGTGCAGTTTCACATAGACTGACCACGTCAGTGAGTAGAAAAACGTGGGACAGACAGAATGACTGACTGACAGAATGACACACTGACAGTTTCCGTGATTATGTACAGCATACCATACCATGACTTAGTCATACCAAACATTAGAAAACAACACCAACATTGGTCCACAGGGGGAGCCACAGCGATCGGTCGCATTTTAGCCATTTTGAAGCATTTTTCTGTTGTTATAGCGCCACCCAGTTGCCAATTAGAGTTAAATTTCTCCAGTCACCTTGAGGCGTCCTGTTCTACATATCTACCAAGTTTAGTAAAAATCCATATGGCGGTTAGGCCTAGATAAGAAATGAGCTCTCTAGCGCCCCCATTTTGTTTGATGGGGTCAATAATGGAGGGGTCCCCTCAGATTATGTGTGGTCATATGCCTACAAAGTTGCGTGGTGATGGGTGAAACCCTTGAGATGTTATACACCTTTATGTGATGAGCCACGCCCTCCGCAATATTCATTGCCTTATAGAAGCTCAGTTTTAGTAAGTTTTCCAACTTTTGCCAAGAGGGAACTTTAGATATTGGTCCCTAGATTATGTTCACCCAGTTTCATGCAGATCGCTCAAACTTAATATTGTTTTCAGGCTTGAACTGATTAACAATCGATCGATATATCAAAATGTTTTTATTTCAGATTTTGCTCCTGCCTTTTCTTTAACTTTGTATTCCACATAATACCTTATTATTTAGATGAAATGTGCTGAAACTAAGGTATGTGTGATTTTGGCCAGTATAAAATTGGCAGGTAGAATTTTTCATCTAACAGTCCCCTAGGCCAGTGAGTCATGAAGTTAATTTCGGTACCTGGAAGTAAAATCTAAACACCTTATGAGTGTCTACAATCTTGACCAATGTGTGAGCTACCAAACTGCTGATATTTATTAATTCACCATGCTTTATGTGGCATTGTAAGCTGATGTAAATCCAGTTCATGAATCTGACAGTTACATGTCAGCAGGTTTGCTCTTTGTAAACATAAAGAGTTCAGAGTGGAGTAAAAAATTCAGTGGTTCTGGTTACCAGGTGACCCGTGTCCTCAGGGCAGGAGACAACAAGGCGCCAGGCGCTGGACACCGACCAGCAGTTGCCGTCAGGCGGTGACTTAAAACGCTGTTTGGTTAATCAAGCACCTTGATTCAGTTGATCTATGTGTCCTTGTGACTTTTTGGCTTTGTAATTCGGTGAGGAAACTATCTAAAAATCTGAACATTTGGGACATGTAACGATCGGTAAGCCAAACATTTGAGGATTTGCAGCTTCTCAGTCTCTCATGTATTTTTACAAACTGAATAAATTGTTGATCAGACACACGAGCAATTCAAAGACATGACTAAAGGCGTTAATCACATTATCTGATTAATCAATTGCAGTCTTGATTAGATTACATTTCCAATATTGGTGTATATCACAATATGACAAAGATTATTAAATTATGAGGCTTTGTCTGTGATCAATACTGATCAGTATTAGAGGGCTCAGCTGATGTCGTGCTCTAACGGGAGAAACGGAGGCCTCTGACAGGGGAACGTGGTGCAGAATGATATCCAAGCTGAGGTGTCAAACGGAGAGTCTGACACACAATAGGGCCTAATCATGGAGCTGTGAAAAGGAAACCGGCGAGGACGGAGATCGAGTAACCGAGCGGTAACTACACACCACAGAGCCAGGCGCGAACCAGCAAGAGGAAGGTGGCGGTGGAGGCGTGAAGCTGGCGCTCAGGTTACACAGAAAGACTGAGTC